ACCGAGTGATGAGACAAAATATATGCATAGGGGGCTGTGAGATCCCAATAGAGTGACTGTTAACTGAGGCTAGAAAGAGTCTTGGAATCATTTCTTTAAAAGATTTATTTATTTATGTATACAAGAGCTGGGTTCAGGCCAGAGGTGCAGAGGGTGAGAGGATTCACCAGAGACAGATTAGGGAACAGAACAGGCAGATTGACTGAAATACTGCTTAGGGGAGCAGTGGGTGAGACCAGAGAGATCTGCGGTACCATGTGGGTCCCCTCCCTGGCCAGGGATGGAACTTGTGCTGCAGTGGCTGCGGATAGCTTCATGGTGCTGTGTTTTAAACCCTTGCACCACCAGGAAAGCCCTTGGAATCATTTAAGACAATTAAATGGATATAGTTGAATAAAGGCTAGGGAAGGCATCATTGATAAGGTCACACTTCAATTGAACCTTGAAGAACAAGGAGATAAGGAAGAGAAGGCTGTTGGCAGAGAAACAAGGCAGTTAGCATCCTTTGCCAACACTATATGAGAGGTAACAAGTGACAATCAGAAAGGGAGAAATACTTTTCAGGCTTTAATGTACATACAATTCGCCTAGAAAATCTTGCTAAAATACAAATTCTGGATCTGAGATGGGGCACTTCAGACAAACTCCTTCCTGTTTTGTTACTGATGTTGTTGGTCAATGAGCCATGCTGAGTAGCAAGAGCTCAGAGATTTATTTGGGTGTAATGGGGGAATGTAAGATGAGATTTTTCAGGGAACTTAAGTTTTGTTCTTAGCATGTTTTGTTTTGTTGTTTTTAATCACCTCTACGATATCTAATAAGGAAAGCCTGGTAGGTTTCCTTGGGTAGAAGGGCAATCTGGTGGTGACATCTGTCACTCATTGATCACCTGTGCTGATTGGCTGAGCTGGCTGACTGGGTGGGTGTCCCTTTCCCCCTTCACTACTCCCTTGTCATGGCTCTTGAATTGCATGCTCAGCAGAAGAGGACAGCCTTCTCCAGTAGAGGAGAACTTCCTTCATCAGGAGTATATGAAGAACTGCACTTTACTCCTAGAACCCCAAAGCAAGTTCTCAGGGTCCATTTACAGGAAAATATATGGTAGTCAATCTCCTAAGACTCCAGACACATCCTAGCAGGCCTCTGCAGGGGGCAGGCTACTTTTCTTTAAAAAACAACCAGACCAGGCCCTCCCTGGTGGCGCAGCGGGTTAAAGCACAGCACTGAGAAGCTTAAGCCACTTCCGCATGAGTTCGATCCCCGCCTGCCCTGGAGGAGACCACATGGTGTGGCAGACCTCTCCCGGCCCGCCTGCTGCTCACCTCAGCAGTGTACTTCGTCGATCTGGCTGTTCTGCTCCCCACTCATCTGCCTGTTCTGCTCCCCACTCTGTCTCTGGTGAATCCTCTCACCCTCTGCATCTCTGGCCTGTACCCCAGTTCTGTATGAATAAATAAATAAATCTTAAAAAAAAAAAAAAACAGACCAAAAAAAAAAAATAGGTTCTTGAGTGGATGAGAAAGAAATGCCTGAGAAGGAGACAGAGGCGAATCTGTAAGAAATGTGAGAAGCCGATTGAAGGAAACCATCATTTCTACAGGAAAGTTTTAAGAAGGTGGGAATGAGTGATGCCAAATGTTGTGGAGAGATAGGAAGGAGCAAGACCAGAATCTAGATTGCAAGGAGTTGTGGTTAGAAAGGGAGTTTTTTGATTAGAGATAATTCAAGAGGACTGACTGGAAAGTATCCAAGAGAATGTTGGATGACAGAAAGAAGTGTGAACCAAAGAGAGAACTCCTTTTTTTCTCCTCCATCCCATCATCCCTCCCTCTCTCCCTACTAGCATTGTTATAGGACTATTCAGCATCTAGAAGGTTGAGAAGATATTGCAATGGAGAAAGGATTATTGATAAGTGTAGCACATGTGGAGATCCTGGCTCCAAGCAGTAGGAAAGACACTTTGTCTACTGATTTGAGAGAAAAAAAGGTAAACTATAAATCACTGACTTTCAGAAATCTACTTAAAATTCCAAATTTCATAAGCTTGGTGTGCTAACTCCTAGTTTTCCTCTGCATTACACTCAATTTGTAGCCTGCCGCAGTCCATCCTTGAATCCATTCACTAATTTTTATGAAAAATATATTCCACCCAAGCATTTTGTATGTTCATTTTTTTGAATATCCAATATCTATGAAGTCATGTTAGAGAAAACAAACTGTTTACCATCCTCCTTCTCTGGATCACCCTCCTATGTCACTCCAGTACAGCAGAGAAACAGTTTTCCTTTCTCCATCCTAAGAATTCCATTCTAAGAGGAATCCCGGAAAATAAAATATTCTCTGCCACTTAACACAGAAATAAGTTTTGATGTTGTCAGGGAATGAGCCGGCTCACTCCTAATAACATCGTAGGAAGAGAGCACCTTTGGAAGAAATCCATTTGGTCAGAACTTACTGGTAGGATGCTTTGGAAGTGTGGCAAGGGTTTGGAGTATTGCCAAAGCTACCTGTGTAGCTTTGCCTAGAATGCACATCCCCCCCAAACACACAACCTCATAGGAAATAAGGGTAGAATTATTAGGGCATGTTGGACTTCTATCAGGTATCAGTTCAATGGGCAGGGCTGCCAACGGATCCCCTCTGTGTTGCCTGTAGGACGATAAGGTTGGGAAATGCTACAGAGGACTTACCTCCATTTCAGTCTGAATAAGTAGGTATTTGCATGAGATTCATCCTAACCATCCTTTAGAGAGCAGCTTAATTCTAGTGGTAGAAATGTACATTTCAAGCATTTTGTGCAAGTGTCTTGCTTCCCAAGTGCATTTCTTTTCCTGGTCCCCTTTCTATCTGTGGCATTTTGCAGTGAGCACCCAACAGTGGGAATGATGACTGAAGTCAGTGATTCGAGATCATTTCTTTGCAGTCTCAGAAGGCTTCAGCAGTTGTTTGCTACTAAGCAGCAGTTGGGAGGTAATTGGCTAATTTTCTTGATAGAGAAAAAGAGGTAATTTGGAGATAATTGACCTAACAAGAGAAAAATGAATAGATTCTTAAAAATTATTTGGGTCATTGCATTTTTCATAGTAACAGATAATTTGGAGTTAAAGTGCCACAAATATGATAATATAAATACTGCATGTATAGCTTATTTATGTTTTAATGGTTTATGATCAGTTCACCTGTCTGAAGTATTTTTCTTATAGTAAAAAGAAATAAGGACTAAAAGAATAGGGTTAAATTCTAAATCCTTAGGGCTCTTAAATTTATACATGTAACCGCATGTGTAAATATATAGCACTATGATGTATTTGCTTTGCAATGCTCTGAAGAATTAATCTCTCTCAAAAAAAAAAAAGCCCAAAAATTCAGTTCAGTTACTTTACAGGCTATTACTATGGCAGTATTTCTGTCTTTCAAATTGGATTAGTAGAAAGTGTTTCTAATGAATAATATTGAGGATTTAAATCAGTGCAAACTGTGAGAAAAGTTGATGCTTTGATTAAGGCTGATTAAGGCGAGTAAGTGCCAACACTTCAAAATATCATGCTCACCAACCCTAGATATTTTCCCATTGATTCAGAACTTACATAAGAAAAAGATCCTTTACTCCAATGCCCTCAATATTTTAGGTAGAGACATTTTTGTCACATGGGCATTTCATTTTAACAAGCAGGCATGGAAAGTACTCTCATCTCAATTTTATGAATGAGAAAACACAACCCAGTGAAATTGTCATTTTCCCAGTGTAACTGGTGAGACAAAAGCAAAACCAGAGGCAGACTCTCCCTAGCTCCAAGCCCGGCCTCCCCTGCCTTCTTGTTCCAATATCTGGAGGCGGTGGCAGTCTGTAGTAAGTGATCACATTTGTTTTTACTTTGCAGTCTATTCAGGGGTCAGCAGCAGATTTCTTAGATAATAGAATTCACAACAAACGCTGTTAGGCTCTGGGGCATGTCACCCTGCTCCAGACGTGAGCTGCACCTTGTCCTTCCCCAAACTGCTGTTCTGTGTAAACTGGATAGAGTCATGAAACCATTTTAGGAAACAGTCAGTTAGTCATACAATTGTAGAAATTTAAATCAATAGCGCCTAAAACAAATACATTGGCATAAACAGATTCTAACTCAATAAATATAATGGGCAGGGGGAGAGAAGAAATAAACAACTAGAGACTTCTTGAAACAGTAAAGTCTTTAAGCCCAAAACAGATTGACTCTCAGTAACAGCGAGGTTCACATTTCTTTTGGTGTTTTGCAGAATTTAAGAGTATTACTGAAGACTAAAGAAAGTGAGCATTCTATAGTCCACAATAAATGTGAAAGGTTCTGCAGATACAGAGAAACTCATTGACACATTGGCTGGCAAGTACCTTCTGTCTGTGTACCTACTGCTGGCATAAGTTGAGGGGCTTCTAGTAGCAGACATGATCACTCTTGACTCCTCAGGAGCCTGTGAACTCACCAGCAACAAAATGCACAATGTAAATAAAGAAAACCTACATATCCAGATGGACAAGATGGGGGCGGAAATATGTTTTAATTGGCCCTGAAATGTACCCTGAGACTATGGATTGAGTGCATATGTATTTGGAAACATGTGAGGGACATGGGAGAAGAAAATGAGACAGGGCAGGGAAGACAGCCAACAGGGGAACATTATTAGATGGCTGTCACAGCGAGTGACTAAGTGTTAACCCAGGGAGGAAGCCCTGGTAGTAGTGTAGAACACAAGCCTCTGTTACCCCACCCAGGGGATCAGTAGCGAGGTGAGGGTGCTTAGGTTGCTATAGTCCAGCTATTATCAAGGCTAGATAGAAGTGGGGTATTGAGCACTCAGGAGTGTTAGTTCCTCGGCATTTCAGTCTGCCGGGTACCTAGGCAGAGCAGACCTCTCCAGCTGGAAAAAGGCCTCGGCACAGTGAGCAGATACCTAGAGTGTCTGCCATAGCAGGGATCTTGGTGGAGCTAAGACTTGACAGTGCTCTTTCTCTTTTCTCCCAGGTTTCTTCATGTTCATATCCCTGTTGTCCATTGTATACGGAGCTTTGCGCTGTAACATCTTAGCCATCAAGATCAAGTACGATGAATACGAAGTCAAAGTGAAGCCTCTGGCCTATGTCTGTATCTTCCTCTGGAGGAGCTTTGAGATTGCCACTCGAGTTGTGGTCCTGGTCCTCTTTACCTCCGTCCTGAAGGCCTGGGTGGTGATGGTCGTGCTCGTCAACTTCTTCAGCTTCTTCTTATACCCTTGGATCCTTTTCTGGTGCAGTGGCTCTCCATTCCCCGAGAACATCGAGAAGGCCCTCAGTCGGGTGGGCACCACCATTGTGCTCTGCTTCCTCACCTTGCTCTACTGCGGTATCAACATGTTCTGCTGGTCAGCTGTGCAGCTAAAAATCAACAACCCTGACCTCATTAGCAAGTCCCAGAACTGGTACCGGCTATTGGTCTACTACATGCTGAGATTCATTGAGAATGCCTTCCTCCTGCTCATGTGGTATCTTTACAAGACTGACATCTATATGTATGTGTGTGCGCCGCTGTTGATTCTGCAGTTGCTAGTTGCATACTGCATAGCCATTCTGTTCATGCTTGTGTTCTATCAGTTCTTCCATCCTTGCAAAAAGCTCTTTTCCACCAGTGTTTCTGAAGGTTTTCAGGAGTGGCTAAAGTGTATTTGCTGTATTGGTAGGCGGCAGAGACCCCAAGAGTCTGTAGCAAAGACAGATGTGAGAATATCAGGAGAAAGAGATGATATTCCTTCTAGCAGTAAAGTAACCTCTGTGACCAACCCGACGGTGAATACTCAGGAGCTCTACTCTGCTTAATAGGACTTGAGTTTCCTAGGATACTGACACTGTTTTCTGTTCTTCACACAAGTGTTGAGCACTGCATAGTTAACAAAGCAGGAAGTTCATCTCACCTCCTTGTGAGTCACTCCCCTTTAGAGTGTTCTTGGGCATGCGGGCACTATGGCAGAAGCTAGGGAGACCCCTGAGTGCTGGAGGAGCAGCATAAGGCGCTACCGTTCATGCCAGACCATATTCTTCTAGGCTAACTGACCTTTCGTTGGCATGAAATCTGAGTTAGACTGGTTAGATCCATCAGGCAGAGCGATGAGGGGCATTTTTTGGGTTTCTAGATATACTGGTCTAGATTGCCTAATGTTTTATTATGTCTGAGGATACTTATCACCCATGATCCATCCTGATGACCGGGGCAGGTTCCTGGGGTTTTGCTATCAGCAACATCATTTCTGTCAGAGTTTTCAAAGAGAGCTGTTTTAATAGACAGATGTTCCATTATTGTATCATTGGGGTTCTTTGTACATAACCAACTGTGTGCCACCTTGGTCTGATATCTCTAAGTGATTCAAAAGTCTAGATTTAGAGATTTTATTTCCAAGAATAAATGGATACAAAGTTGAATTCTAAACATGGTTATGGAAGCCCTAGTATTTTAGGAAAGTTGTTTCCTTACAACATGTTGAAGAAATTCTGGATCAAGCCAGTTGTTAAAATATCTACATGTTGTAGGATTTCATAAACAGGACTCTTACCTTCTCTGGGTGGTGGAAGATGTGAATCTACTAGAAGGTGGTCTTAAAATTCTTCAAGGTTCAGTATTTTCCATCAATTCTAGGAACTTTCTAGTAGAATTTTGTAGGATTTGCCTTCTTAAAAAGGGTTGTACTAAAATTCGTAGTCTTCACACCCTCTCTTCCTTGCCTCTCAGAAATTATTTGTTCTAGAAAATGTCACAGAAATCTCTCACCTAGCTCAGGTATATAAGCCATTTTAATTTCCATTAATTGAAAGAAAAGGGTTTACTTCCCTTTGCCCCCCCACCCCAGTTAGATGTTAACTTTAGAAACTTCCATATTATAGAAAGGGATGAAATGTCTTTAACTGAATGTGTTTTAGTTTGGTGTGATTATAAGCTACTTTGAACAAAATCTCCAACTTATCCTCCTGCATGCTCCCCCTTCAATTAATTTCTCTTTTTATCTAAAACCCTATATACGTTCATAGAAGGATAGTGTAGCATCCCATCAATGGTCTCGGGAAAATACCTGGATCCAGACTCGTTGTTTCTACTGTTAAATCCTTCATAGTGAAGTATCTGGAAACAGGTGAGCCGTCACTGAGTAGGCTGGACATTGCAGGTCAGTCAGGATCAAGAGTCAACGGGCCCTAACGACTATACTTTCTGACCAACCAGTTTCTAAAAACCAGTCCATCAGGGAACAGATTAAAAATGCTAAGTCTGAGTGAGTTCATTGTCAGAATTAAACAGGGATAGGGATTGGTAAGTAAGAGCCTTCATTTGAGGCTTGTCTTAAGAACCACTATAAAGTCTGAACCTTCATTACATTTTAATGTAGAAGACAGTAAGTATCTTGAGTAACCTCAAACCAAACTAGTAGTGACTGTCAGTGAGACTACCCAAAGCCAACTGTATGCCACATTTATAAGTACAAGGAGAATTGGTATCTAAGTTGTGCATTTTGTCATCATTAACCCTTGATACACAAATACTCCTGCTTTGGGGTCATCCATCCACTTTGTCCATCCACTTAGGGGAGAGAAGTCACTTTTTTCCTGTATGGTAAAAATGTGTGTCATGTTGAACTGAAAATTTTTGTTTTAAAATTATACTTGAAATGAGTTTAGACTGCAGAGCTAGGTTGCCCTGAAAACTAACAAAACAGCAAATTTCCTCATGTGTTGAGAGTGAAAGTTTGTTTTTCTGCTATAATTCTAATTTTTAAAGCTCTCAGTGCTGTGTGCTTCCTCTAGTTACATACCACAACTTGTCACGTCAGCTGTTCCACCTGAATTACTATCATTTGGCTAAATGGAGTTGAAGTATTTCCTCAAATATATTGAACTAGCATCCTCAGACATGTTTAGACTTTCTCTCTTCGTTACTGGAGACAGCACTGTATAGATTGGCATCTCCTTGTCCAGCCCTACAAACTACTGAATTGCCCTATACCTCAGATTCCTCACCCGCCAAATTGGATGATACACCTGCCCAACCTACCTCACAAAGTTGTTAGAAAGCTCTATTTAAGTAATAGGTGTGAAAACGCTTTGAAAACATTTTTTAAAGTGCCATGTATATTTAAGGTATTGTTATAGTTATTCAAATCCATAGACTGGTTATGATTAGTAGTTCCATCCATTAGTGTCTTGAGTCAATACATGGGCCTTGGCCTTCTGGAAGGGCAAGTGTGAATGTTCGCTGCTCAGCACTTGACCTTTATCATCAGTTGCTTGCAGAATTTAGCACCCAAACACATAGTACTTGAAGGAAAAAGACCCATTGAAATCTGTTAAGCGTTTTTGAGGGCAAATAAATTTATCATTTTTGTATTGATTGTCATTCATAACAGGCAAAGCAGCATCTTTTATATTGTGATTTGCATCTTGAAAGTGTGATCCTGCTAGACTTCAGCTGAATTTGGGTGCAATCTTTTCAGCCTTGTAAATGGGAAATAAACATTAAAATGGATTGTAAAATATAACATTTCCTTGGAAACCACCTTAAGAACATTAGTGTTGTGATTATGAGTGTGTCCGTACTTCTCAGACAATTAATTGTGGATGTGAAGTTTTGTAGGCTGCTTCTTTGCAGTCATTGACTAAAAAATATTGTGTATGTTTTCTCATATAATAAATTAATTTTTCAGTTTGTCCATGTGGTTCATTCTTTTATACAGTCATATCATCTATCTATCTATCTATCTATCTATCTATCTATCTATCTATCTATCTATCTATCTATCTATCTATCTATCTATCCATCCATCCATCCAT